GATTAAATTATAAATAAAATATTAATATTTAAAAAATCAAATAAAAATAAATTATCGTATATATAATAAAAGGTAATTTTTATTTTTATTTTTATTTTTAATTTTGAAATTATTGTTACTAACAAAACTTTACAATAAATCATAATAATTATTCTTATCTTATTTTATTTGTCATAATAATTATTATATTTTATTTACATCTCATTTTAATTTTACATAATAATTATTCTATTTCATTTCTGTTTATTCCACTAATTAAATGTAACCTAAAAACAACACTATAAGCTCAAAAATGACCTCAAGAAAAATAAAAAAGTTCACATGTCAAACAGCTGAGGTATCCACATTGTGAAAAATTGAGGTTCTAGCCTTTTTAAAATAAAATTTAAATATGTTATAGATAAATGCAAAAAAAAAATTTATTACGAATATTTTGTAATTTTATCTTTCTAAAATTTTCCTTACTTTTTGCACATCAATCAAAGATGAGATAATAAATTTTCAAAATATTAATTTTTCAAATTTTACAGTATGTAAATTTCATCCGATTTTATTTCGAATTTCTCTAACTATGTTGATTTATTTGCTTTGTGACTGATTTATTCGGTTGTTATAATAATATTTTAATTATTATAAATTCTACTTGTGTACATGTTATCTCATTTTAAAAAAGAAATTTCGCGTGACTTTTTTTCATTTAAATAGAAGTTTGACAAAGGGCATACATAAGTTAATATTAAGAATTTGCAAAATACACAGGGGAAAACCAATAAGGTCTCCAATACAACAAAAGGAAAAGGAAAAGAATTAAGTGGTGGCACCCTCCTTTGTTACAAACAAAAACAAAAACAGATGCCAAACTCGTGTAACTCCAATCATCGCCGACCAAGATTTGGCATCAAACTACACTTGGTTGGAACCAATTGGCCACCCTATTTTCTGTCTTCGGTGAGAACTGGTTGATAGATTCCTAGTGATAACAATGCTCAAAAGTTGTCAGATGCAAACTGACCCAAAATGCAAAACTGTACTCAGGATTAAGATCTCTCTCGCATTTTGGCTCTTGCAAAAAACACTCCTGCCAAAAGACCTGCAATATCCATTTCATGTTATACACAATAAAGGGGACTTGGAAAAGAGGCCAGATACTGTGTACTTTGTTTTGTGTTTGATGACATACCAAAGAAGATGCTGGCAGAGTTCTCCAAACTAGTAGGGACTTTGAAAAGAACAATCCCGGCAACAGAGAGAGGAATTTTATTCAATGATCCCACGAGGCTGCAGATAACAAATCAGTTAGGAGACCCAGCCGGTACATATCCATTTAACCAGTAATTATCACTCATCTAAAGTAAATTCAGTGGTCCAACATACTAATTCCACAAACCAATCCAATTTGAGATTAACTCGCAACTGAATATATTTAAGGACTAAATCCGACAAAGACTTTAACTTTGTGAGAGCTCGTCACATTGCAGACTACAGCAAACATGAATAGCATTTACAAAGACGGGTCAGTTTGCAAACATTTCCTTTACCCTAAGCATAACTTAACTTGTATATGAATTGCAGTTTTGCTAACCAAGAAATTATGCAATGTAACACTGTCACTCGCAAAAACTAGAAATGTTTGTTTGGTTTTTCGGTCGGATCACGCAAAGCTAAATTTAACTATGTACAGTGGCATTTAAGCCCCTTTTCATCTTACCTGTAGGTGGTAGCCCCTGTTTGATGAAGAAACCACATTGAAGTGAAACTGATTGCCAGACCCAAAAATCCACTTAATGTCATTACCAACCAGAAGTCAGGCATCCTTAGAAGTGGTCTGTCAAGTAAATACAAGATTGTGAGATTCCATAAGAACTCTTAAATAACAAATATATCAGAAATGGTTGTTGCAGGTTAATTGCAAGATGGCGTGAGAGCTACCATGATTTTCATTTCAGTTCAACCTATGAAATCAATAACAATAAGCCTGAAATTTAGTGGCATATACTGGTGGAGCTTGAAAATTAAAAATTGACTTATTTACATCTTAGCATGGAAAGCTTGGTCCTTCAAAATAATCTTGCATGGCAAAAGTGACTAAGAAGGTTTCACATATGAACATTGAATTGGCATAGAAGCAACCACAAGTGCATGCAAATAAATTCTAGGAATAGTTAGGTGTATTTGCTTCTTTTGAGGACACCATAGTGGGGGGACACCTGTTCAAGAACTCTGATTTATGAGTGGAAAAGAGGATCCACAAAATGATATTTGATTCAGTAGGATGTGATGCTGGTAAGCATAACAAAAAGCTATCAATGCAAAAAGTTCATAATAATAAATATGGATCGAAAAAGTCAGACTGATGCAATTTTTGGTTTTATAAAGAATAAAGGTAGAATAAAGAGGGCAGAGACTAATGAACAAAAAGAAAAGAAAATAACATAAGGATAACACCATTAAGTACGGAAATGCTTATAGAAAAGCTTTCAAATAGCCAAGCAAAATTTGAAGTGTTGTAATGGACTGTGATATAATGTAACTGTAAACTTTTAGAATAGCAGGAGTTGAAAATTATGCTGAAAAATTAAAAAAAAAAAAAGTACTTCAACCAATGAATATAAATTGTAGAAGGAAAAGAGAAGGTACAATACTATTCAAAACACAGATCACAAGTTGAACAGGTGATGTAATGATAGTGCTTATATCGCGTACATCTAGCAGAGAGAGTCAATACAAATTTAGGGTTTACAATTAAGACAACCTGTTAGCAGCACACAATTGTCCCTGATCAATTGAATTGATACTCTGTAGTGCCTTCAACGAGTCAACTCTAGAAATTTCAAGCAATATCTCAAGCAAGAAACAAAGAGACATTCCCTAGCTAAATACATAATTCCATAGAACATGTTAAGACTCTTAAAATTTGCTATATTTGTAAAAGGAACACTGACATACAAATGTATCATGTTACAGAGTATGATGGGGAGACTCATTCAATTGTTATAAAAACTAATGGAATCCAACTAAGATCATGTGAGTTACAACATTAGACCATGAAAAGAGCATCTACGTTTGTTTATAATAGGTAACTAAATTGTTATAATATATTTATTTATAATGAAAAGATACATTGTTATAATAACTAATGTATCCAGTTAAACAGAGCAACCATATTATTTACTGCAAAAAATTACAACAAAGCAAATAAATGGAGAAAATATGCTTTGAAGTTCTAACATGAATAATGATAGGGCAATAAAAACACTTACGTTGTGCAGAGATAATCAACCTCCTTGAAAACAAAAATAAGAAGAATCCCCAAAGGCAATGAAAGTGTGTTATTTAGCAAGACCATTGAAAATTCATTCAAGTTCCCGGATTTGGTGACCTGCTTTGCAGTATCCATGACTCTACGTAGGGTCAGCTGCACCAATAAAAATAAATAGATGAACAATCAGTCATTTATGATTTTAGATTTAAAAGAAAAATGAATGAACTAGAGATGAATAAACAATTTTCCACCATAATTGCAAAATTAGGAGAAAAACAAAGCATGAACCAGGACTAGCTATATTAAGTATCTACAAATGGAATTTGCAACTATATCGTAAGTCTACTTTTGAGTGTTCAAGACTGAAACTTGAATTCAAGGCACAACTTATTACAACCTTTAGGATGCACGACCAATTGAGACTTTGGCAAAAAACCCCAGTGAATCAAACTAATCTGAGACCTTAAATCCCAACAAATATGCCACATGGATGTCTTAAACATCTCTACTACAACATCAGCATTGCTCTATGAGCAATTTGAGCCTACCGAAGCTTCCCCAAGAAATATTCATTAACATACACCAACACAAACTCCTGATCACATTTACACTTATGGTTTTAGATGCTTACCTTATTGAAGATTTCTAATGCACATGGTTTTGCACCCAATAGGCATGACAATAAAGTACCGATATGTTAACATGATATTTGCTTTAGTACCAAGTGATTTCTTCTATTTAACATTATGGTACAATATTTCAAATTAGATAGCAAAGAAATTTCAAGAAAAATTTTCACTTATTCTATTTCTATGTTTTTATCTGAGAATTTCTTGTATTTTTATCTATTCTAAACATAGAATGTTCAGAATCAATTATATTTTATTAAAACTTTTGCTAATTTCGTGTTTGGATTGCATTGTGCAATCCATTTTTTTTATTGTATCTACACATTCTATGTTTTTTTTTTGGGCTGCTAACTCAATGGAAGAGTACTCGGCTTTTGGTGTGGCTAGCATCTTTTACACATTTGTATGAAGAAAGGGATTTGTTCATACCATTGGTAGAGTTTGTAAGACCACAACTGATCCTGAAAGGAGTGGATGGAAAAAGAGCATGTTCTATATAATAAATTTAAAAGCACTATAATTTGAGGGAAAAGGGCTAATTCATTATTAACATACTCCATTTCTGCATGCAAATAATTTATCCTATTGCTGCAATTAGATACTTTAATTTACTTTTTATTTGTACAAGAGTAGGCTTCTACAATGCTATTATCAGACTCCAAATGAAGCTTGAAACATCAGCAATAGATTAATGAAAAGATGTTGTCAAGAAGAGATTGTTTTAAATAAAGCATAAAACATGTTTTGCCATCCAAAAAATTCACACAACTAGGTAATTTTTTGCCAGATTAAGTCATGTAGGCTTAATTAAAAGCATTCCTTGTATTGTACTTCAGAAAAAGAAATTTTGGGACGTCCAAAATTCAAGTTGCTTAATTAATATTTCTAAAACTATAAAAGTTTAAATTTGCAATACCACTGTATTGATAAATCAATTTGCCATTGGAATGAGATATCGACTAGCAAATGGAAGCACAAGCAAAGACTTCTCTTTTCCAAAATCAGATGAGAAAATAGCTCAGCTCAAACTGATAAGACAAGCCCACAAAACTGCGACTAATGACTTTTTGTTAAACAAAAAAAATCTTAAAAGTTAAAAATTGAAAGTCATAACATCATTATATACTCACAGAATACGACGCAGTTAAGAAGCAGTTTATAATCTGCCATGCATATCCAGTGGCATGAAATGACAGATCAGTTATCCCTCCAGAAACTGCTGAAATAATCTGCACAATACAGAGGTAAAATCTTGTTAGGCTGAGTTCTCTTAAAAATGAGCATGTTATAAGATATCTCGCTGTTAGATAAGACCATCTTCAAAAGAAACCCAATTTCTTAGAGACAACCTCATATGTGATTTAGAAGTGATAATAGAACAAGTACATAGGCAAAATCATGTTAAACTGATTATTTTCCAGAATTACTATCTTATAAAATATCTCTATCTGTTAGATAAGACCATCTTCATAAAGAACCAATTTCTTATAGGCACTCCAGTCTGGTGGAAAAATCCTTTTGAAGTTTCCACAAATATATGGACAAACCCCCAAAGCAACTTGATATTGTATTTCCTAGAAGGTAACAGTGTAAATGATACAATTTATTTAAAATTATTTCTTTCTCAAAAATGTGTTGATTGAAAAGGAATATAGGGGGAAAATAAAAATTATTAAAGAGAAAGGAGATACTATGAGAGGCAGCATCAAGCTAATATAAGAAGAGCAATATGTTGATTAAAAATTACTCTCAATTTCATATTCACATTTCTCAAATAAACTGAGTCAAATAACATACCATTAAGAACAAAGCAGTCCACACCCTGCTATCGTGATGCTTCTTAAATAGATACATTTCACCAACAGCAGTAATTACATTAGTGACATTCTTCAGGACCGTGACCATGGCTACATTAATATATTTCAAACTGCAGAAAGCAAAAATTGCAATTAAGCTACAATAAAAGATGAATTTCCTTTGAGCATTCACCAATTATCCATGACAGCATTCTTTACACAAAAATAGCCTTTCAACACAATGCAATTAACAGTGACTAAGCACTAACAACTGAATGTTCCAACTACTTCCACCTCAGATCATCTCTGGCAAAATAACAAGCAGAATCAAAATGCTATAGACCATATGATTTCTTGAGTTTTCCAAGAAATTCTAAAACTAAACATATAAATCAAAGATGTAAAATTTGTGATTGAAATCAAGATGGATTTCATTAATGGACACATCCTAGGCAAAGCACAGATAACGAGCAATCAAAACAGTAATCATTAAATATAAGTTAAAAACTTCATAGTTTAAGGCATCATTACTTTAGGAATATGACATTTTAATGGTTCCCTATTATTGTAAATAATTCCAACCTAATATTTCTATTTATACAAGAGAACTCTTAACATTTTTTTCCCTTTTTGAATGAACAGAACAACTTTACACCACTCTAAGCATGAGTTTCAAGCACAAATGTGTCTAGATAACAAATTCAATAATTCAGCTCTTCCCCAAATGTGCAGAGTCAGCCATAACAATCAAATGGCATTCCCCCTATAGCCCAGACTAAATGAACCATACGTGAATAGCACCAAATTTTTGTGTCATATATCCTACAGGAATGCACCACATTTTTTTTCACTGAATGTGATGTGCAATTCAAAGATCTGTGTCCACATCATTTTTGACAATAGGCTAAAGCAAAATTTATTAATCACTAGAAAGAATAATTTCTAATAGAATTGGCAAACACATAAAACAATGAAGAGCCATAAGTACATTATAACCTTCACGTAAAGATCCAGAAACAAGTGTGGAAATTCTAGGCCACTCCCATTAAATATATTAGACATTTTAAAGGTTCATGGTCTAACAAGATTTGGAAAGAGATAGCAAAAGATGAACTTAAGAAACATGGTTCAGTTTCCAGATGTAACCATATGAAAAGGTTTTCTAATGCAGAGCCATCAGCAAATATCGGAGAGTGAGACAAGGAATCTATGACATGCAATATTGGAATACATCCTGTAGTAAATCAGTCTTTCTTTCTTATTTTTTCTGTCTTTCCCAACCCACAGCCTTCACCATCAAAGTAAATGCAAACTCCAACTGAGACATAATTTAGGCTTTTGAAATGACCAAGTTAGACTCTATTGAGTATTGTTGAGTTCTATGTTGTTTTTAGTTAGAGTCAATTAACGACAAGAAATCTATGTGGGAGACAAAAGTCTTTTCATTTTTCTTTTCGGTTAATTAACTAGAGGTAAAACTTCTTTCCAACAGGAACCTTGATCCACAAGTGGCAATATCTAAGCTTGCATTTGTAAGTACCAAAAAGAGCTACAATTCAACTATAAAGATGGGCAATTATCCTGGTAGTCCTGTCTTTAAAAATAAAACCTGAAAACCAAAAAGCCCTTGAAAACAAAAGTATGAAACAGCCTTGATGATGTTAAGCGAAAGAGGACTAACTACTTCAAATGGTAGCAGGTTACTGATTCACTAGCACTAAAATTACAAAACAGAAATTTTAAATATTCTTTCAGCTGATGCATATATAAAAATAGAATCAAACAAGGATTCACCAAGATGACCATATACAAGAAATACAAGTCATACCTAAACATGCTTGTAACAAGCATCCCGACAAATATGACATTCACAGGTAACCAGACTTTAATCAATCTCCACGTTAGTGGTTCTGTCGATATTAGGCCCAGAGAACTCAGTATAGAGACAATAACAACGGATATAAAGTTCTGCAGGCAGAAAGAGTCAAGAGCTTGTAAAGAGATCGAAACTGTTTTTGAACCAGTATATTGACTTGCACATAAAAAATTTGCTGCTATGATAAAAAAATTAAAAATCCTAGCATAAGTACGAATATTAGTTAAAGTAAAATACCTGGTACAGCATCAAAGATATCCCCGCGTTGAAATCATAGCTAGAGAGCACAAATTTGTTTACCAGTATCATACTGCAGGAGGAAATGCAATATGCAAGGCCAGATAATAAGGCCTGATTTTGTATTTTAACTATCTTGTTACTACGTATTGTTTTATCTCTGTCCTTTTCCAACTTACCACTCTCCAAGTCCATTTCATCATTTTCATGGACCTTTACTGCAGATAATGACCTATATTAACATAAAATATTAATCAATAGCCACTATTAAAAATCTCACATCTCATTTCATTTGCACAGTTAAATAGACAATTATTGTAAAAAAAGCAAGATATGCAAAGCTACTAACAAGTTGAACCCACTGGAGCTCAGATACCAGTTGAAAGAAGAGAAAAGGAATGGGGGAGGGGGACCATGGGAACCCTTGGGGAAGGAAAAGACCTTCAACATTTTTAGAATTACAATAACTATACTCCCACTTTGATTCCAAGTCACATCAGAATACCCAAAGATACAACAAGAATTGATAGGAAAAAAAAAAGAGAT